GTCTAATCTCTCTCTGAAGATAGATGATTTCCCTTATAAATCCTAATCTTTAGGATTCCTGGAAATTTTCTTATTAATGCCAGAATACAATTTTGAACGGAATAAAGGAACATTGTGGCTTCAGTTTTCACATTTATGGGACCATTCAAGTGAAATATTCATGTACCGCTAAATGTTCTTAATGACCGCCTAGTATATCTGGATTACTCTTAACGTTAAAATTATGCTAACCGTCATAATGATATCAATAAATTTTTCAAACAGGGCTTGAGAACTAGAAGCTTAACGTTTGCAGTATGGTCTTGGGATAATCGGCCATTGGTAGTGTCGTCAATGACGCTTCCATCTGGTCGTAAAAATTATAACAAATTTCTCCAGAAGTAGGTAACCTCTTATCAAATTGATGTATTCCAGTGCTGATATCCACTGTCCCTACTTGTAACCTGTGCTAGTGCTTCTATAAGAGAGTATCCTTTACATGTACCAAACTCTCAAGGGAATACAACACGTTTGCATAAGGAGTTCTCGCTCTGTGATGATATTCTGGGAAGGTCGCTTATTTGTTTAAGCAAAAAATAGTCATACACTATTCAAGTCTAACTCCTTCCTTTCGCGATCTCTAGGTTCCTCAACAGGTTCAATTCGTCCGAGGTGAAGAATATACAATAAGCCAAACAAATTACGGTTCCCTCCCACATATTCTACTCAATTGTAACAAATGTCGACATCCCACTGTACTTCTGATTTGATCCTCTAGAGCCAACAATAGATTAATGTAAAGTGAAGTGTTTACTGGGTTTCCTAGCAAGGTGACCAAAATACTGTTACAATGAGAAATGAGGTCTTTGAGGACTTCGATCTTGACGTTCCCACATTTAAGTTATTTTTTTAGAAAAAGAAACCCAAGAATATATCACTACAAATTTATGCGTAGCACACCATTTCGGGTTAGCGTAAGTAATACAGTGTAGTGTGAAGCGGGTATTTCATACTTTGAATGCCCACATGAGAGCAATAATGAGCGCTATACTACGTTCAATAACCTTAATCTTACTTTACCCTCAAAGTTAGCGTTACGTCTGGTTGTTAAGTAACAGGAAATAATGCCTCAGAGAGGGAACAGAGGCTGTTGGATGTTTGGGTAGTGAGTGGATCACACAATGATAAACTGAAAATCTGACATTTATCTTCTAACGTTTATCAAAAGTATCCGTTCAGCCTTCGCTCTCAATGAGCCCGCGTATTCAAGGAAATAACAACCAAAAAAGTTTTAATGATATTGGTAAAAACGATGTTCAATATTCAACTCATCAAAGTTCGTGATCATAAGCAGTATATTTGAGTACTCTAAAAATATAAGTAGTGCAATAAGTGAATAGGCTGCTACTGTATCAAACATAATATATTTGTGATCAAAGTTCAACAGCTTTGATTTTGAATAATGTTTACCATTGTGGATAGTGTTCTCGGGGAGAAGATTAGGGTTTCTGTATATCCTTTCTCTAAAACGTGCAAAAATATATTTTTAATAATCCCCTATCTTATATAGTAAGCTTTAAACCGGTCACCTACCCATTGGGTGTAAATTCATTGCGCTTATAATGGATGAGTGAGTACCGTGGGCGGAAAACAAGGAATCCAAAAGATTGGGAACCATAAGGAAAATGCGATCATCAGACAAAAATCGGGTCCGAGGGATTGATAAATTTTCTGGGTAGATATCCATTGTTCGTTTCAGAAACTTTTGGTGATCAAGATTCTTGTAAAAGATCCTATAATGAGATTCTGTCAATTTAAAATATATATGCAAATCTCGTGGTCTCTTGAAGACAGACTGCGTGACTCTCGCAAGTGAAATCTATTCACATTTATCAGCACAGCAAGAAAAATATCTAATTCGTACAAAAACAGCAGGTAAAATAACAGAAAACGAAATAATTATATTGTTTTCCTACAAAATTATACTGGCTAATAATATGATACGAAATATATCAAGACTGTAGTATTGTAATTTCAAGCGACCTCATGTTGGGTGATGAATGGCCAAGTATTGTCCAGGGAGTGGACAATTACTGTTTAAGACTTCGGACCTCAGGACTTCAGAGACGATTTACAGGGGAATATAAATGGTTTGTTGTGACAAATTGTCCTAAGTTTCTATTCACACTTGTACGAATATGCGTTATTATGTGAAATTCATTTTTATCCGCACATGTTTTGAGAAATGCAAGATTGGTAAATTAACCAACAACGAATATACGAAAACGAGATATTAGATTTCGTAATTTGAAGCAATTACTCGACAATTTTACCAGTTACCTAGGCCAGTGCTTTCCCTGAGACCTGTCTCAATATTTCCTAATACAAGTTTAAAGTTGAATTATGCTGAATTTGGTTAATTCCAATCAAAGAACTGTTTCAAGGAACAGTGAAACACCTCAATAAAGTGCAGCCTCAATAAAACGCTAAGCACCTTTTACATCTACCGTAAAAAGAGCAAGAATTTTACAGGTCAGCTTTCAATTATTTTTTAAATACAAAACATCCCTAAGTTAAGCAAGACCAGGATAATTTGTATATATTTTGTAATCGAATATGCTCTTGAAATCAGCTTCGTTCTCACCTTGACTTGATCAAATCCCGTATCAAAGTTTATTTGACGTCATATCAAATTTCAACCAATCGTGTTTAACTATTATTTAAACGGCTTAGTCAGCCTCGTAATCGTCGAATTGAGAGCTATCTCTAAACATAAAATAAATTCGATACCGTACAAACAAGAATTAGATATTCTAAGCTTGTAATTTATATTCGTATCGGGTTTAATTTCAAGTATCTAAAAATACAAGTTTTTAATGTAGCCTAATCAGTCACGTGGGAAAGTGTTAAATTAAGAACATTGTCCGTTTTTTCTCAGCTGATCAAATTAATTTTATCTATTTTTGAACTATTTATTGTTACAGATACATATTCTGTGATTCCCTGCCATTCTATGATCTCGATGAAATACATAATTTCAATATTGGTTCGCTTTCAATGGCCGCGCCCTTTGAATCAGGGAGTTCTTGAGAGGGCTTGCTCACTATATCGTAGTCCCTACGGGTCCTTGATTTTTAGTCCTGTTCAAGACGCACTTTCTATGTCTGCCTCCGCCAGTCCTGCCGATAGGGGTATACCGGGTTGGAACACATAGAAGATCCGGACCAGCAATGTACATATATTATAACTAAACGTTCCAACTCGAGAAACCTGGCAATTTGTTAAATTGACGATACAAATTGAAGATCTACAAGTACAGACGCCACATTAAAATCACTATGTAGTAGTTAATAGTCTATTAAACTTGACCTAAACGTGATTAGAATTTCATTAATTACCTCCCTTTATTCACTGCACGATTTCCTTGTTTTAAAACATTTAACTGTTTACCTGAGTAAATGACTAACTAAATTCTAAATATTACCTCCAAGTGAGATATTTTGTTAAAAAAAGTGAAACTCGTAAGATGAAAAAAAAAACATTGCCACGTAATTTAAGTTTTAGTTATTTTTGCAGAGGGCAAAAGTTTGCATAAGAAATTTTTCGGACGGACGTAGGTATATTTTTAACGCAGACTCACAAAACTTCATATTTTCATCAACAAAGTCATTCTAAGACTATCAGTATTATTTTGAAGTTCATAATTATTAGAACTAACTTCAGAATAATCGTTAAGATTCGATTCACATACGCAAGTAGAAGAACAGTTAGCAATTTTAGCATCAAAAACCTAGAAAATATTTTAGAAAACAGGATATTTTCACAACGAGAAAGCGGCTAATTATTGTGACTTGACAACTCCGTGTTGACAGAGAATTTAAACATCTTTATATCTATTTTAGGCGGAGAGATTATTTAAATCTCAGTTAACAATATTGTGACAAAACGTTTTGATGTCGTTTACTCGTGGTAACTGTTACCAAATTAGTCTAGAGATTGTATATTCCACTGATATGCTCGTTTTTCCAATTGTTTTTTTTTATCAGAAACAAAATTTGTCATCGTGTATCTGATCTTCACAACAAAAGATTCTGTACCGACAGAAAAAGGGGGCATGGAGGGGAGTGGGGTTGAGGCTTACAGGTCAAGACTTTCAGTAGCTTCTCACTCATACCAGCAGGGGTGTTTTTACGAGGAAAGGCGGATGGCTGGTGAGGTGCAAAGTCCTTCAGAGAAGTCTTTGCCCTCCCCCCTTTTTATACATAGGAAAAGAAAAGGCATCCCTTGATAATTCTGTGGCCTCTACTCTACTCAACTCCCTCGCCGAATTATTTTAAGAAACGCCACTGGCCCTTGGGGTGTCGACATTTTAACCTGTACATATATTTAGAAATATGTTAATTAAATTACTTTACCCCGCTAACTAAATTGATAGCAGTTTCCTTTTAATTATGTGAAATCATGTCTAACTTACTAGTATATTGGCAAATATATGGCAAATGTCTAGTGAATCAACGTTTAAAGGGAGATAACAAGATTTAATATTCAATTCTTCGTTTTGTGCTTACTATATTATTGGGTTCAAATTTTAAGAAACCCGCGCCAAAATGGACGAAAGATGTTTACCAAAGAGTGGTAAAATCTTGTCGATCGTTGAAATTCATGACATTTTAAGAAAGAGGGATGTTAATGCTGAAGGGAAGTCGGTAAGAGTTACTGGAAGGTCAGTCACTGTTCAAAAATAACCAGTTAATTCAATCTTTGTATTCAATACATATGGCTACCTTACATATTTTTGACTACTTCATTTTCATATTCGAAAAACGAAATGAAATCGCATGGGTGCTGAGTGAACAGGATCGAGAGCCAACATCTGACAAAGATGCAAGTCGTTTTGATGGCACAATAAATTCTCGACAGTTGAAAACCAAAAACCAGTGAGCTAGTCAGATTAGTTGGACGCAAACCTCCATTTCACTTTTATTTCATTTAGGCTCGATCGTCATGATACCGACACATGTACTGCTGTATTGGTGGATCCCAAATCCAATAAAAGTCTATTAATCAATACCAGACTGGTGGAACCGTTTTCTGCTAAGTTAGGTAGTTTGTTTCAATTTATTGGTGAACTGGACGCACCAACTGGAAGTTTGGATGTATCTTTGGTAGCAAGAGTGGTGCGATGCGTTGATGGCCTTGACATGACACTATATCATCAAGCAATACACGCCCAAAGACAATATTTAAAGGAGGAACCGAGTTTGTGAATATATGTGTTTGATTCGTGATTAGGTGAAAAACAATAAAGAATGGAACAAACAAACAGGCCGAGGAGTAACATCAATTACTGTTTATGTGCAGAAAAAATTAGCAAAAAAAAAAAATAGAAAAAAATAAATGTATATACAATATATATCAGGTATTCATAAAACAAACAAAGAGGGTGATTGAAAGTAGTAAAAATATATTCAACAGAATGCACAGGCACAGGGTTAAAGTATTGTTTACAACTACTGTGTTAAAATTAAGTAAACTAAATAATTAAAAAGAGCAATATACCTTTAAAACCTTACATGATTTGTGTGAATTTTCCTTTTCTCATCCTTCGTTATGTATATTATAGTTTGACCCCCCAGTGGATATAAAAATTACTAAAATATATTTGCTGTATATATGCTCAATAAAACCTCTATTTTTTCCCCTTCAATAAAAAATCCGTACAAGCAAGACAATTCCTACAAACAACCTTTTTCAGACGTTATAGTTCAATTCAGTAACACGGTAAATACATTGGATGTTCGCGATAAACACAGTGGATGTTCACGATAAACACATTGGATGTTCACGATAAACACAGTGGGTGTTCACGATAAACACAGTGGTTGTTCACGATTAACACAGTGGGCGTTCACGATAAACTAACGAGATTACGAAGAGCTGTATCGAAGTTAAGCAATTCTTCCCCAGTCAATCCGTACTCACTCACAAGAAAATTATCATAGATGTCTCGGTTTTGAACTTTCATACACTGCAGTTCCCATAACCTCTTGCCATCCATTCCTTTCATCTTCTCTGTTAGTTTACTTAAATCGTTTTTAATAAACCATCGTTTCACTTTCTCAGTGTCCATCTTCTCCACGTGGTTGGGGATTGGGTTAGAAATGACCTGTTGGAAGGAGGCAGATTCCGGTTGAGCAAGAGCGGACTCCACCTGGTCACAACCTTCTTTCGTTTCATCAAAGATGGCAGCATCGGGATCTTTTTCAAAATCATCTTTGGTGTCTTTAACATAATCTAAAGCATTCTTTAGCGTACCCAAGGAAAATGATGGATTTTTTAATTCTTGCAAAAACTGTTGAAGGCTTGATTCGAAATCGGCTCTGTTACTGAAATCTATATATCGTCTTTCATTTGGAATAAAGAATTCAAGCCATCCTTCGGGTTTATATTTATACTGCATACAAAGTGGAATGAAAGTTTTTTTGTGCTCAATTGCTTTATAGGCAACGCCTTTACACCACGGATCTTGACGAAATGGTTCTGAAAGACATACCACAACGACTGATGACTCCGCAACAGCTTCAGAGATGGCACCTAGCAGGTCGCAATGTCCTAATTTGTAGTCAATCCAAATTTCTATGCCAGCTGCCGTGATCCTCTCGACAATTTTCTTCACCATTCCCGTATCCTCTTTGTTGTAGTTGATCAAAATATGGCGTGTTTTGGAAATTAGTCTCGATGGAGGTGCCGATTCGGGATTCAAGTTTGCTAAAAGACCTTGCAAATTGTGTTTAATCTCAGGATCCTTTTCTAACTTTTCTATAGTTGTCAAACAAGGATATAAGTTTTTATGCTGTCGAATTGCCTCTCGTCCATTTGGGTTGAAACTTATATTGTACAAACATATTGTGGTACGTAATCTTTCCTCTCTGTCTGGAGCTTTCAACATTTTAAAGAAGGTGTCTAGAATATTAGTTTTAAGAATAGCTACGATATCACCGTCAATTGTAAGTTTGTTGAGATACAAAACTAAATCCGAGGACATATACCGTTCCTTGATACGATTAATGTCATCTCTACCAACAGCCAAAGACATTAAACGAACAATGTATTGAAAGGTGTCCAGCCCAGCGGTCAGTTCCTTGGCTTGTTTTTCTGTAGCAATCAAAGCCATGGTAGTATACGTGATCAACTTGATATCCTTTTTGTCAATATCTGAATACCGTTTCACCAGGTTGAAGACGTCCATGTCTTGAAAACGTGGGACGGTATGTTTATAAGTTGCTATATTCCTCAGTACACTGATGGTCGACATAATTATATGTTCTTTGTCTTTGTTTTTCATCATTTCAGTGGGTGTGTTATGAGGTTGAGACAAAAAGTCACATACTTCCTCTATGAGACCATTGTCTTCTCCAGTATCAGTAAGATCTCTCGACAGATTCTCGCTGTAGCTTGTATAAGCCCATAAAACATGCACTACCAGTCTGAAAGGCTTAAAGATTCCTGATTTGCGTGTGTCTTTGTCCTTCAAGGCAGCAAACATGCGGATGGCGTACGATGCATATCCGCACCTCCACAGCTCCTCGGCGACATCTTTTCTATATTTAGCTTTGTTGAAATATAAGTCCAAAATGGCAGTTAATTGTTTACAGATCTTTGTAGGCTGGTCACAAAAATTTTTTAATTGACTTACCGAAGTGGCCACTTTATTCAGAACTTTTTTACATTCTTCGCTTTGTTCTATTTGTGTCTCTTCGAAAAATGCTGAATCGTAGGACACTACGCTTACAGTGTCCTCGTCAACAGACGAACTGCTAAGACTAAACTTTTCACGTCTGCTTTCCATATTAAAGTTTAAAAATTCGCTTTTATCGTCAGTCTGTTTAAACCATTAACGTTTCACTCTGAAGTTGATGTATAATAGTATTGGTTAACAGAATTATTCTATCCAGGAGACGCAATTCCATGAATGAAACAGCATTGTATACAATTCTCTAGTGCAACATTTTGTCCACGTAATAAATGTCACCTTGCCCTATCAAAGTTAATGTTGAAGTGTGTACCCATACAAGTTGTCACACTCTAACCCAAATATATAACGGTTCAAACCTACATTAACCCTGTCAGCGAGCTCGGAGGTCCATAGCGTACATGTTATATATGTTCCCGATAAATTCAATTAAACATTTTACAATATGGCGGACAATTTCTTAGAATACGCTTAAAACGAAATTAGATATGTTTCTAGGAATAGCTAATCGAATCAATAGCTCTATAATAAACTAGAAGAACAAGTTGCGTAACGAGTTATGTGGGTCACGATTGGATTGTCCAATAGTCTAATCCTGTGTATCTTAGTCTCGTTTTGAAGTAATGTACTAGGCCTACTGTATGTGTATTATGTGGAAGGAGTCATGCTTCAATTTACACTGTACTACATGTATTTAGTATTAAAATGACCTTGAAATTGTGATTTCATTTATTCATGTGTGCTATTTTGAGATAATGTATCGTATCGTTAATGACGGAAGCTGTATGTTGTGTATTTACTATTGACTACGAATTGACCCATTTTAATTCTTCGTAGACTCTTTAGTACAAAGTATTAGTTTTCTGATGGTTATTTCTTTGAAAGAGTTATTGTTAATGAACAGATTTCGGATTAACATCTGATTCGTTTGCCATGTGATATAATCAAACATTCCTTTGGTGTCTTTTAGAGTGATATGAACCACACCAAGGACTGGGTCTTTGTATTTTTGGAGTAATATAAACCACATAAAGGCGTACGACGACGCCAAGGACTATAGGACACCAAGGACTAAAGGAATATAGACAATGGAAATAAGCAAGCAAGGAACGATATTTTGGTGTACATCGTATTGGTATTATTTCATAAAATGATGAACCTAAACTTGATAGTGGATATAGAGAAGCAGAAAAAGATGTAGAGCTCAAAACAAGTCTTATGTTAAAGTAGTGTTTTACATAATTAAGCAATGTAGGTTCTCTAGACGACAAACGTTGGCTGTCGCGGATATCAGTGTCCATAGTGTTTAGGCAGTGTGAACAACATCATCAGCGAATGGAATCTGATACCAAAGCTCTGTTTGAAGCGAAAGGTGATGATGACACCATTTCTCTATCAGCTGTGTCTGTAGATCTTCAGACCAGTCAAAATCTATCGTTCAACGTAAATAAGGACATCACCAAACTGCTCCAAGAATTGAAACGTTATGAAAAAACCCCTAACAAAGGCTGTTCGTGTATTGGACGATTGTGGAACATCTGCTTGACTTCTAATAACAGCATTCATGAGATAATAAACCTTGTGGATGGACACAACTTTCCCCAATGTTTAGTCATTATGCTAGAGGTTTTGAAATCAGACGGGTACTTTTCCAAAAAATGGTCTGGCGACTTATGGAACACGTCGAGTAAGTTGTTAGCTTGCGTCTGTCTTTTCACAAAATACAGCGACCGTTTCTGTCAAAGTGTAGTGGATTCTGGAATTCTGTGTCTTTTAGTTGATAATTTCGAACAGTTTCACGACAAAAATCTGCTTAGAGACAATGAGTCAAAGCCATTTGCCGTCATTAAAGCCACTTTGTGCTTGGTGAAAAACTTGGCTAGGAATTTGACTGAACGAAAGTCGACTCTCAGGAAGTGTTTTTGGGCGTATCTACAGCGCATGAGGATGATAGATGATCTGGGCGTGTTCGCAACTATGGGTGAAGTTTTTCTTTGTGGAAGAGAAGAACTTAAAAGAAAAACCGAAAGTAAAGAAACTATTCTGAGCCTAATTCATTGGATTAACCAGTCCTATTCTGTATTAAATGATCCGACATCATGGAATGGTATGTTCAGCTTACAAGATGCGATCTGTTCGTTACGATTTCTCGCCAGCTTCGGCAATGCAAACCATTTCTGTGAAAAGGTAGTGTTGGATGCGTTTCGTCGAATCATAGCTGATGGGGTCGCAATTCAAGATATAATCCAAACTGTTTTGACTATATGGACACTTTGTTTTGATGCTGACTTTTATAAATCCATCAAAGGTAACAAAATAACGTCAACTCTAAAGCTGAAGGAGCAAAGTGAAACAGACACCGAGTTACTCCATTGCATAAAAGCGGTGCTGACAATAATCAAACATAGATATTTCCCGCGATCAGTCTCTTTCGAGGGAAATGCTGTGGATTCGGAAACCTATGCCTTAATCGTGTATCATAATAGCGATTCAGATAGAGCGCACCTGCTACAAACAACATTGGAAAGTAAAGCCGTGACCACGCGTCTTACTGCACCTGATAAAGAAAATCCAAACTATTTTGATGAGATCATAATTTCTGTACATAAATGTCACTCTGTGGTCTTGTGTGTTTCCGAATTCACGGAGCTGGATTTCGATTCTCGGACAATTCTGTACATGGCGAGGAAAATTGGCAGGGATGTGATATCAGTATTTATTCAAACTGGAATCCAACTGAATGGTTGGGTTTTACGAGAACTTTCTGATCAACCTCGTTTTGTTTTTATTGAGAGTCCTTTTTATGTCAGTGATATGGCTACACTTTTGTTACAAAAATCTATTAACTTTTCCCGGAAAACTCACGGATTACGAAATACCCGAAGTTTGGAAAGTCTAGGGGGGCATTCTATGTCTTCCGTCATGTCTGATGACTCCTGCGGTTCTACGACGTTGTCTGGGAGTGCATTTACTTCCTTAGAGGGAGTCGGGAGGCAGAATTCTTCGGGCCAAGCATCCGGTGCGTCTCTCTCGCGCCTGTCACTCTCCTCGCACACGGGGGCAGGAACTGCTTCGATTTCGTCCCCGACATCACCAAGCACTGCTTCAAGCACTTTGTCTGATGGAAGCTTTAATGACTCTGTACCTGAGAAATTCCGCGACATGACGAAAAAAGATGTATCGGACTGGTTGAGGAGTTTCGATATCGGGATTAATATTCGTGACTTTAGAAGCGTGGATGGACGGAAATTGTGGGAATTGTTTACAGCCTGTCAGAGCAGCAACTCTGCAGATCAGGACTCTTATAATAAACGAATAGCGCATTTTAAACTGTCTGAAGACCAGAAATTGCGATTTACTGCCGCGCTGTTAAAATTGCAAACTACATCCACTGGCAATGGAACTGGTCGTTGAATTAATGAATCGCTAAATCCCAGGGCCCTGTTCTACAAAAATTCCATTACCATTCGATGTTTTCAGGAACAGGGCGGGGGTCGTATTTATTGATATGCTCTGCTACATCCAACCGGTGTTATGGCAATTATGATTGTGTTCTTTGCTGTGGGAGACACTGCGAAATTTTTTGAGCAAGTGGAAACCAGCTCTAGGAATCAATTTCGTCCATTATGTACGTAGACCCGCTGCTGATCATTACTGACTGACAAATATCAATGTTTTAATACAAGTTATCTCCCTTGAAATGCAAAATTGACCAGAAAACACGAGCTTCCTTGTGTAAATGATCTGAAATGGAGTTTTACGTGCTACTTTTCTGCACCACGTGAGCTAATGAAGGCGGGCAATGCCATGCAGGGTGCAATGAGGGAAATTTTGCCAGGACAGTGGCATTAGCCTGCTCTTTTTTAATTTAACTGTCAAGGCTGTACAGACCGTAGCACACGGGGCATCGGTTTAATATCCCACCTGAACGACTAGACGCTTTTTCCATATCAGCCCCTCTTACCTGCATCACTGACAGGGGGAAACTGTGTTAAAAAAATCCGAAAATATTACCTCGAGTTATGTCGGGATTAAACCCCGACCTTCGATTAGCGAGTAAACGTGTGTTGTGTTGTATTTTATGTTTAAAACCTGCATGATTCTTGTAAACTTTCCAGCAATGCACATCGAGTTTTTCAATCCAATAATTCAGTAATATTGATCTTTGTCTGAAATTGTAATTTCGAAATGATTATTCAGTTATAAACCATTTGATCACGTGGTTATTTCTTGCAATTCGAATAAATATTTCAGTTTTAAGGATGATTTTTCAGTTTAATGATTAATTGATTAAAAATTATTATTTCAGTTAAAAGATTATTTCTCGTACAGGGGATAATTTCAGTTTACAAAAATTCTTGCAGTTGAAAATATAGAATTCCTAAGTATATCTATGGATACCAATAAATGGCTAAAGCCATAATAACGTTTTCACGTCTGCAATGTTAATGAGGGATTAAAAATGTAATTGAAATTAATTATAATACCAATCAGACAAATAATTAACAGAGATCAAAGAAAGCCGCCGACAGGTAAAATAAAGTTTGTGATTTAAAACATAACAACTTGTATTGTTTTGAAATCCATTAATGACACCTTTACTTTACGAAACCATTTTTTTTATTGTTTATCTATTTGATTGTTTTTAGAGACGAGTAAATAAACACATTTTAAAATGGCTGCATTCTACATTTCCTAGGTAAACTGTTAAAAAGATCAAAAGATCAAACTAATGTTTTCAAAGGTCAATATTGACAATGATTCTGGGATCTTCTTCTTGTTGTGAACATGGAATTGAGATTTAGATATACAAGAAATTTTCTTATTGAAAACTATAGCTCTCTTTTAATACTTATATTAGAAATATCCCTGCCGATTTGTCCTTATCTTTTTAGAGCAATAGATAATCTTTTTGATTATGATAATTAAATCTCAGTACGGGCACTATGACAAATATATACTTTATATAGCAATGGCACCAATTCTGAAATATTTCTGACAAAAAATATTTCAATCTGACTTAAAAATCGATTCATTTAGTTATAACAACCAACAGCAATGATAGAATATTTAAAAGCTAAGAAGGAGATATTCAATAATGTATAAATCTCTTCTTTAAATGACATTTACAAGTAGACTTAATATTAGAAAATAGACACTGTTATAGATATACTATTCCTGTCTTTAATTTAGCAACGTTTCAATTCACGTACCGGAATCTTTATTATTATTATGTATGCATGATACAGCTTCCTCTATGTGAATTGAAACGTTGCTAAAATAAAGAAAAGAGTTGTTTATCCATAATAGTGTTTATTTTCTAAAAGTATAAATCTCTTCCTGATTTTTCTTTTTGAAAATTCGATTTCTGGGCCAATGAACTGTGTCAGAATATCTAAAAATAACTTTGGTATAGAATTATAAAAATTGGGATCCTTTCCCTTCTGGTTATTATACGTTTATACTATGATAGACTTTTATAAGTTATGGCTACTATAAAGTCAACAAACCTTCCCATGGGGATGGCTGTCAACAAGTCCCTATTTAGTCTAATGTATCTATCTATTTCGGGTCTATAATAAGGTGCTGATGACAACTGTGTCATTTTGTTGACTTTTTACATTGTTTCAATCCTTGACATGTCTCACCTTAGTCTTACAAATTTGATTGGGAATAACCTATTATCGTTATATAGAAACGTTGCACAGATATAACAATCAGAACAATATCTTAAAGATGGTCATGGTGTCACACAAGGTTGCCATTTTTGTCCTTTACCTTTCATTAATAGCATTAATAAACTTTTGAGCTTTTCGTGGCCATTCGCGTTAGCTGCTTGTCCCGATCCCGGAATTAGGTAGTTATAACCAGTTGGATTTTCCAATCAGTGGTTAACGTTCTGTGAGAGGGGGGGGGGCCCATCTTCACTTTCCGTGGGCATTCGAGTTAGCTGCTTGCTCGATTTCCTGTGTAAGGTCACGACACGGAAAAAGCATCTACTCGTTCGAATTCGCATAAAACCCTTATTCTGACAATTTATCCCTGACATCAACTTCATTTCGTAGGCTATCAATAGTCGAGCTTGACACGTCTTATTCAGGTTTCCAAAATCCAAATATAAGACCATAATATGTACATAGAACATCTAAGTGTGATTTTCCCACAACTTAAATGATCTTGACATTAATTTGTTTTCATTTTTCATCATAAAATTCATGTCCTTTTACAGAAATCCTTTCTGTGAATGTCAATCGAATCCCATATTGTACCAAAACAATAAAACGATATACATAAATTTCACACAAGATGTACTGCTTGGCACTAATTTGGTTCCCTACTCGAACCGCTGTTTGTTTACATTTAAACAATATAGTTCATGTCATATTACTGTACCCCTTTTCAAAACCAAATAAGATGTACAGGGTTTATACACAATATATGTACTGCTTGGCACTATTATGGGTTCCCTACTTCAAATTCTATTTGTTTACATTTTGTTTTTTTTTTGTAGCCCATGTCATATTTAATCCCATTCTTCTAGGCAAAGCAAACCTTTGTTTGTAAACAAAATAAATACGATAATATTTGCATGATATTTGTGTAACTAAAGACAACAAATTCAACCCAAAATGACGCAATGTTTGTAAATTATACAAATAGCTACAATCGCGATGGACATTGAATTTAAGTCGGACCTCCCTTGAGTGGCCACTTGAAGGAGTGAAGATAAAGAGTTTATAGAAGATTCGCGGGTTATCCCCCGTGGTTATGTCTCAATGGCCACTTATAGTCGACATTTAATAACAAGAATTATCATTGTTCTGTAATATTCTAAACTTTTAACGACGGATTAAAACGTAACTTATGGTTTGTTCGGATGTTCCCATGGGTCTCCTCATGTCCTGATGACTAATCTCCCCTCCCCTACGGACTATATTCCTGATTAGAAAGCATATAACAGATTAGGACTTGCAGAAATTGCAATGGAAATGTATTTAAAGATAAAGCTATATAGAAAGCAAAACCGATATTTTTGGGTTGTCTGCAATCTCGAGTCAGTGTATTAAACCTTGAAAACATTCATTGGAGACCATTTTAAAAATTTAAATAAATATGCTACCAGAAAATGCGTTATCTTTTATAACTATTTTAATGGAACAAATTAATATTTTACAGTTTTTTGGTAATTTTTCAGTTAGTTGATAGGTCTCTAATCCAAATACAAAAGAAAATAGATTGCACTAATCCTCCGGTCCTTAAGTGGTAATCAACCTTTCATCTCGAGGGTGAAACCATATACAAACATATTACAGAATAAAACAATACAAGGCTTCGCGGAGACGATCAAAAACAATGCTACCGTTCAAGATGGCTTCCCCTAGGCTAATACGTCACGCCCCCTAAGCCCCACCCACATATAGATCATTAATATATGACTTTTCCTAATCGCACCCTCATCATAATCATTGCGACCCTTCCTCGTTCGATCATCCTCTGGCGTGACAATTTTGATATATATATATTGGATTTGGATAATTTCTTCAATAAGGTAAGAGCTTTTAATATTTTCCGCACATTCGCGGATAATTATCGCGAGAACATAGCTTATAGGGCTGTAGTACATTATAATGAATGAACTTTCCAGATGATAAAGCGATCGAATGCTGAAAAATAACATGTTATAAACGTTAAATGATGCTTCGCAATGATGAAACTGCATCGTTCGCGCCAGAAGATCTTTCACGGTAGACCGCTACGGTATATAATCCTTCTGCCAGACTTTTTCGAATGATCTCCAAACCCGCCACTATTGTCACTGATATCTCAATAATTATTTGACACAGTCGTCTCCAATATTTTCATCATAGCAATCAGATCAGTGTCAGACTTCGACACCATTTTGACAAATTGTGTTAACAGTTGATTAGTTTTTATTATCCAAACCAAACTGGAGTATAATTCGATAAAATTGACTAAGTCCATTACATTTATCAGTTGCTGGTAAGCGAGAACATCTGAGCTTGGTAATAGCATGGAAACGATAGAAAGAGAAAAAACAAATATCACACCGTATTGTCTATTCATATACACTGTGTCATTCGAAATGAGCTAGTAACCAGCTCACACTTATGTTTGGAAGATATTGTCTATATGTTCGTCTTTTTTCCAGATCTCAAGATGTTTCGTTGGTTTAAGAAGAAATGTACCAAGAAACACAGCAAGCGTCTTCGAACATCCAGTATTGGTGATTGGACGAGAAATAACGATTATACCAGTCATCCCGACACCAATATCTACCACGAGATAGACGACACTCACATTACAGAAGCGTATGCTGTCACATCTATAGAAGATCTTCTCGATATGAACCAACCAGCCTTAACCGAAGTGTGTCCCCTTTGTCGCCAATATCGTTATGGTCCCAACAGAAATTGCAAGTGTTTTGACCAAACGCCAGCATCCCCATTCAAGATTCGCCAAGATCTCACAGATGATGATGATTTCTCTTGGCTTGAGTACGATTTCAAAGGTTCTAGTAAATCCAGTCTACATCGTTCTAGATCAGAAATCCGTAAGGTAGACCAACCACGTCACAAGATATCTGGAAAATCAGACGACAGTTGCAGCAGCGGTTATTATGAAACAGACGACTCCTGCGATGACGTCACCATCTCACCCGTCTACAGACCCATACCAGCTCTTAGAGCCAATCCACGTCTTCCGGTTTCACCATCCTTAGCGCCCAAGATGGGCTGCAAGATTATCAAAAGATCACAGAGTGCTGTTAACCCTAAACGAAGCCGTTTGTTGAGACGATCCAAGTCCGACTACCTAAATCCCATGAAGATTGTCATCGAAGATGAAGAAATGTCATCTGCTGTGATAGATAGTGTGCTTGATACTGTGTCCGGACTGAACTCCCAAGGGAAACAACTCAGTGATGACGAGGATGATATTTTCGATCATTTCTATTCTAACGTGTGTATTGATATTAATAATTTGGAGATTCCGAAGTTACGGAAATCTAGCTACCGTTCCAGAAGTCACGGGCAGAATAGATTGTTGAATGATTTGTTGAAGCAGAACCACGATAAACAGAATTTTACTGGTGTCAGAAAGTGAACCCTTGTGTCTGTGGGAGGTTTAGTGAGTTAGACGCTTGAAGGTTCTGTGATCAATCCTGGTATAGGTCGAGATAATAATCTTCAGATTCCGTGTGATACAGGCTTTGTCCTATCACTTTTCCGACAAAATGTTCTTAGTTGCACACTGCTTAGTACTGCATGACATTGTCCAACTACAACGAAGTAGATAAAACTACATTCATGTCATTCTTTGTCGATATTCTATACGAATGTGTTCCGGGACTGACTATTGTTTGTGTTTAATGATATTGGTGTTTTGGATATGGAACTGTGGGCGCATGTTTTGAATTATGCCACAGCTTTGGTTGCGAGTATTTTAAGTGCTAGGGATTTCTGTTGTTTTGTTAAGAAATTGCACCATGAATTGTATATATATTCACTACTATTATTTACCAATATCTGAACGATAATCGAACGCATCGCATCATCTTCACTTAGGACTAGCTAATACACTTAATCTGATGCATCAACAGAAAGTTTATTAACACAAAACAATAATGGTTAGTCTTTCTGTCGAGGGCTCTGATTGGCTGTATTCACTGGCGTACATTCCAATCAAATCGCCACATTCAGTGATACAAGAATATTGACTATTCAAGTAGCAATAGCTTGATATTGTGAAGAGTGCAGCCTTGCAAAGCAAAACTAAGATACCCATTCTATACAGGATGTTGTATAATATTTATTAGTGCTTAATAATATCATTTGTTTATCTTGTTGTTGAATCATGTAATATATGTTGACCACAACTTTAATTAAATATTCCTATAAATCAACATGTTTTCTATCCGAGAATCGACCATTGATTAAGGAAGATCAGCACAATCCAACATTCTATGTAAATTGGATTTCGTTTTGAGTTTCCAATCATAACACCACTATTTAGTAATCTCGATATATATTGTTGGCGAACTGATGGTCATGGTGGTAGAGGCCGCTCTATTGGTGAGCTCTGTATGCTCGGGGTATATGGAATCAACGTTCAATAACACAGACTGGAACAGAGTTCAGAACGCGTCCCATGTGTGTCGAAAAATGAGTAGGTGCAGACAGAATCAAAATGGCTGAGAAGGGAATAGATGGGAAAATTTTGAATGTAATAGATTACTCATATCGTTCGATTGGGAGCAGAATTGGAACAGACTGAACTTGATCAGAACTCTCCAATCGGGGCAAGCACACGGACATTGTAGTTGTCATTAGGTTTCCGATGATGGTCGAGTAGCACCGTAAAAGATAACACAAGCGTAGAATATATACGTTTATTATATAAAACAAATACATTAACATTGTAATGTTAAAACGAAGCCCTTTAATAATCCTTAGAAAATTTTAAACTGTTACCATAGAAACATTATATACATTATCAATTGAAAGTTATCATATAAATAATACCTATTTGTAAGTAGGTCAAATGGCACGATGCACGTGAATTCGTAGGTCGTAGTAAGTAATCAGTTATTCGAAGTAACATTTAAAATCATGCATTATGGAGCGCACATACTTATATAGGATTGTAGAGAAGTGTGCGATAGACTTCTTCCAAGCATAAATATCATGCACTAGTTTTTAGATGCCCAGACAACAGAAAAACATGACATATTACTATATGAACATTTTGTAGGCACAGAGTTCGATTGGTAAAAAAGATGCTTTATGTTAAAACGAACGAATCCTAAACGAAACTACGTAGGCTTTCTTACATGGAAACAAACACGAACGTAGTTGAATTTGAATCACTACCTCCGCCTCGACTTAATAAATCGAATTTTTAAAAAGGCTATATGTTCAACAAATAAGTTCATATTTCGAGCCACTTCTTAAAGGATTTGTATTATTTCCATATAAGAAAGAAATACGTAGTTTTGTATGTGACGAATTCAAACGATAGTCTTCTTTCAGGCCAGGATATAGCAACCATTGTGTATATAAGACAATTATGATGTACAGCTACTAAAATTTGTTCTCATTTTGCAGAGCTGCGTATTAACCGGAAGTCGGCTGCTGAATCGGTGAGCAGGGTTGAAGGATGAGAGGAGAGGTATGTCTGAACGAAAGGTCTCACCTAGACCGAAACATCTGCCTCTAGTCCAGCCTTTTGGTAGCCATTTTGGCAGTTGTCGGCAACTTCAGAGTCCAACATAAAGGCAGATGATTCGGTCAAGGTCCCGCCTAATAATAGTAGCGATTTGTTCGAGTGGGGAAGACCACTGTTCGCAGTATTATAATAATAATAGTCATAATGATTCCCAACACTATCGAGATTATCGCCAACTTCCGGGCTGTTTGACCTTTCTCTGCAGCCTCCGTGATTCGTCCACAGTTACCAGCATCACGTGACTGAAAAATAAATCAAAAGTTATTAAACCGATGTCTCGCAATGTGACGTAGGGCACAGGATTATCCAGATCGTAGCTGTCGATATCAGAGGTCAATTTGCCACCAGGGCTAATGTTTCTGCAAGATCGAATGTCATGACTCTGGGATGATATTCGTTCATTTAAGTGCTCAACCACAAGTAGATAAAACGCAAAGGGCAGATAATTCAGCTTCGCAATTCTTGGTAAAGGTATTAGAATGATATTTTATTGTATTGTATTGCAATATCTTAACATTGTGAAGATGCCCCATTCCATTTCCCACTATTTCTGTTGCCCCTCCAAGGAAGTGTCTTGCCAATTATTATAACTAAAATGTTCCGTCTTCGCAACGTCAATTACGAATAAAGATCCATACAAGCATGACAATTCCGTTAATCAAAATCTCGTTCAAAGTATGACAAAATCGAGAATAAAAGTTATATAATAGTGAACTCCCCTAAAGGGAAGTACCACTAGGTGTTTCGAACTTCGTCTTATATATTGAATGCAAAAGTAACCTTTGGTGAGCTTGAAAATGATCTTACCTTCACCGAATAGAAGATGGCGGCTATTCCAGTTGGCCAGAAACAGCATAAACAAGTAAAGATAGATAGGCATAAATAATCATTTGGTCTGTTCTCGGCTATAACTATATTGGTTGATGTCGGCTGCATAACCTGTAATATAAACAATAGAATGAATGTATTAAACTGTTATCTATTATAGATTCGTAGAAATGGACTGCCCCCATGTCGAGAATTCTGACGACCGACCAATTCCATTACTGCAACTAAACACCATACACAATTGCCCCTCCATATAACTTACTCGCCCCTCCAAACAATCAAGCCTAGCTACGAGCTTGGTTGTATTATACACCAGAAGTAAGTCATTTCTTAACAAATTGATCTATTCTTATGCTGAAATCGACACACTCTACTTGTAACCCAGGTCAGTGCTTCTATAAGAGAGTATCTCTTAAAACACCTTATATGTACTGGCTTCAATCCAACTTGAACTGAGGATATTTCCTAAGCTAATGAGGATATTTCCTGAGTCTTTATGGGTTATTCCTCAAAATAAAAATTAGAGTATAAAAAGTCAAGAACAACATATTGGCGAAACATTGGTACGAGCTAATAAACTTTTCACTTGAGGAAGTCATAAATTATAAGTATTACAATTAAAAGAGGTTAAAAACATCCACATAAACTTACCACCACTTGCCCGGGCTGTCCATACTGCTGAGGATAACCTTGCTGGGGGTAACCTTGTTGTTGGGGGTAACCTTGCTGGGGGTATCCTTGTTGTTGGGGGTATCCTTGTTGCTGGGGGTATCCTTGTTGTTGGGGGTATCCTTGTTGCTGGGGGTATCCTTGTTGCGGTGGATATCCTTGCTGGGGATATCCCTGTTGTGGAGGGTATCCCTGGGGTACTGGATTATATCCCGGTTGGGTAGCAAACCCCTGTGGGTGAGGGTATTCCTTTTGGGCTGTTTCTTCGTAGGATGGAGGGGGAGCTTTTTCTAAAATTACAGAAGAAAGTAATGGTTAGCAGAATCACAGAGAGGATTATTAATATTCATAGTATACGACAACGAAACTGCTAAATTTCCGAAACAAATCTTACTGATGGGTTTCATGATGGAGGGGAGGGGGGGGGGTGGTGCGAGGGACTGGTGGCGACAGGACCCAATGGCTAGCCCCTTAAATAAGCTACCAATCCCCGTCACACCCTCCTCATCCCAAGATTACATTTGTTATTCGATATTTAACAGGTATTGGTATAAGGGGATGGGTGCCGACTTTAGGGAGTACTTGTTCAGGCATCACGGTTAGATATGAGTAAAACAGAAAGAAATGTGGTTTCCAGAGTCAATTTATGGATGGAAATCGTCATGAGTTAACGATGGTTGAGGGATCATTGGCGTTGACAGATGCAGCACACAGGGCCTCGAGACTTGAGGACATCAATATAAAGGGACCCTCACGCCATCACTAGTTGCGGATGGTGGCGAATACGCAAAGAAGTCACAAACGCAACTTTTATGCAACGTAGTTGTGAGTTACGTTCGTTTCTCGTGACCATTATTCGCAAACACAAGCAACTGGTAATCGCTATTTTAAATTAGAAAACGGGATAGGAAGATAACCTTGTGAAATAAACAGAAACCTTGTGAAATACTTTTAACGTTCATTGTATACGAGGTTTCACCCACTATTAGGAGTGTGTTATTTAAAGTCAAGGCCAAAACAATTTTATCTGGCATTTTCACCAACATTACGTTTCAACTAAGTTATGCGATAAATATGTAGCTAGCGTATCATTCATACTGTGCATTATATTTCGGCTTATAACTTGACTAATTTAAAGGTGTTGTAAAGAGGTTTTCTAAACTTTTTAGGTGTATCGGGGACTCTGATAGTATCAATTTACACTAACAAATTTTCAATCAGACAGCTTGACATTGTGAAGATGAAGTTTGTAATAGCTTGACATTATGAAGATGAAGTTTGTAATAGCTTGACATTGTGAAGATGAAGTTAGTAATAGCTTGACATTGTGAAGATGGAGTTTGTAATAGCTTGACATTGTGAAGATGAACTTTGTAATAGCTTGACATTATGAAGATGAAGTTTGTAATAACTTGACATTGTGAAGATGAAGTTTGTAATAGCTTGAGATTGTGAATATGAAGATTATAATAGCTTGACATTGTGAATATGATGTTTGTAATAGCTTGACATTGTGAAGATGAAGTTTGTAATAGCTTGACATTGTGAAGATGATGTTTGTAATAGCTTGACATTGTGAAGATGAAGTTTGTAATAGCTTGACATTGTGAATATGAAGTTTGTAATAGCTTGACATTATGAAGATGAAGTTTGTAATAGCTTGACATTGTGAAGATGAAGTTTGTAATAGCTTGACATTGTGAAGATGTATGAAGGTTGTAATAGATTGACAATGTGAAGATGAAGTTTGTAATGGCTTGACATTATGAAGATGAAGTTTTTAATAGCTTGACATTATGAAGATGAAGTTTGTAATGGCTTGACATTATGAAGATGAAGTTTTTAATAGCTTGACATTGTGAAGATGAAGTTTGTAATAGATTGACAATGTGAAGATGAAGTTTGTAATAGTTTGACATTATGAAGATGAAGTTTTTAATAGCTTGACATTATGAAGATGAAGTTTGTAATAGTTTGACATTGTGAAGATGAAGTTTGTAATAGCTTGACATTGTAAAGATGAAGTTTGTAATAGCTTGACATTGTGAAGATGAAGTTTGTAATAGCTTGACATTGTAAAGATGTAGTTTGTAATAGCTTGGCATTGTGAAGAGAAAGGCAGTATAACTTTAATAAAGACAAAACTTGTTTCTCGACTGGAAGATTTATATATGACTATTAATGTCTAGGTTACAACGTGACAAGTACATAATTATAAACGAGGCATGTAATTACAGGCGCTATTTTCAACATAATTGTATGTCAAAGGTTGTCCAATTCAACATATATATGTAATTGTGTACAAAAACAAAACGAATTTGTTCTTTTATTTTCCAGTAACTTTCAGATTAAAATTTGTGAGTATAACAGTCGAAACGTTGCATTTCGTACTAGAGTTGTTATCATAGCAAAGATGAATGCCGGTATGTAAAATAGTTTTATACCAAAAGATCAATACCAATAATAAGTGCATAACATTTCGACAATTTTACTCTCAAATCTTATACATGTAGTTTGTTGTAAGTTACTACTTACTACCAATGCTCTAGAGATGCACTTTTAAAAGAACCTTGAAATATGAGACAAATACATGAACAGAATGACCCACTACGAGTTTTCGCTTATTTCGCTGGCCGTGCCAATTTCTCAAATCTTTAGATTATAACCATTTATACTTCGTACGATTTCTCAAATTCAATCGAGGCCATAAACAAGCGTTAACACAAATACAGACAATTTCAACTATAGACATCTTAAACAAATTTCACACATGATTTTAGTGTAGATTTGAGTAAAAATAGTTTGTTCTAGATTTGTTAAAAACGAGATAAAAGAACACAAAAAACGCACTTACTTTCACTGTCCGCCATTTTGAAGTATTTACGTCTGCCTCTATTACAATACTGCTAAATTCCTACTAAAAGACTATTAGGATTGACCTATTAATGATATCGGCCTCTATCAAACCGTGCTATACACTCTATTTTCAATGCAATCTTCTGCAGTTCAACCGGGCGTTATTGCTCATAATACACACCAAATTTAAACAATAAGTCAGAACAATAAACACGATGAGGAAATACTGTGAAATATAAAGTTGAACTAGTAATGTTAGTGAGTACAAGACTACGGAAACTAGCTAGTCCAGACCTACAATCAATACTAACAGCGATTCGTCATAGTAAACATGTTAGATACTGCGTTATGAACGATTGTTTACTATGTGGCAATACCAGAATATGTTTCGGAATGGCGGGAAGATTTAAATTTTGTATCTCAGTAGCCGCACCCCAAGGGATCGGATGCCTGCAGGAATAATGTGGGACAAAGAAATTGTAGCCCGTTTTTCTGTACGGGGCAAGGGAGAGGGGTTGAGGCATCGTACTGACTAATCTATTGGAAAGAAATAAAATGAATACAGGCAACGCCATGTAGGGTGCAATGAGGGAAATTTTGCCAGGAGAGCGGCATTAGCCTTTTAGCCATTTCCAACTGTCGAGGGATCTTTACGTGCACAGCCTGTAGCACACAGGGCCTCGGTTTATTGTCCCATCCAAAAGACAAGACGATTTTTGCACGTCAGTCCCTCCAACCTGCATCACTGACAAGGGGAAAGCGGTCGGGTTGAAAAATCAGAATGTATTATCTCGACGTATGCCCGGGATTGAACCCTGGACCTTCGGGTTAGCGAGCAAGCGTCTAACTCACTGAACCACTGCGGCTCCCCGGAAAGAAATGAGCCGTCTATATAGCCAAAATATTCAAATCTCTCCATTCGAATCGAGCTGGTGCTGCCAACTGAATTTTATAGTGCTTTCAAAGATTTTGGTCACTATTTGATTACCTATAGACACGGCTTTATAGAACATCATTCACTGGTTAAAATTTTATGCAACGTTTCGATGTGTTTCCCCCGTCGTCCTCGGGTGCCATAAAGCTGTGTCTATCGTACTCACATCATTCTCACAATTCCTACTCTCTGGCCACATCAAGTTCTAAATCACATTTTGGCTATCATTTTCGTATGAATTGAAATATTAATCTCCAAATATTGCTGAGAGTCTTAGAAGATTGTCTTTTGGTTGATGAAAATGCCAACCATTGAAAACAAACTTATTTGAAACTATGATTTTACAGAGGGAGATTTTCAGTTCAAAATGTGTCATTTTCACATGAAATTTCTTGGAGAGAAGTGTGTTCATTTCAAGTGCAAAATTTTCAAAACTTATATATTCATGGATCCAAAGGCATTCTAAGACAATTGGTATGCACTTGAAAATCATATTTTGAATATTTGTGACATGAGAGAAAAATTCAATTTAGAACTCAATGTGGCCAGAGAGTAGCCTAAATGTCATTCAAAGACACTATTTTTGCGATAATCTGTCTGGAATAACAGGAATCACCTGTAGACGTCGAACAAGAAAAAGAATAAGCCTGATAATCGTGGTAATAAGCACCGAAATAGTGGGCCTATTCCACCAGAAATATACTCTTCTAGCTCCAAAACACGGTTCTTATAGTGGCGGCTCCTTTTCGGATATTTCTGAATTTGCCTGAACTAATCTTAATCTACTAACAATCAGAAATAATGTGTAATTTATTAACTAATAATAAATCTTTTGAACCCGTTTAGCTATTTAACAAAGCCCTTTGTCTCTTAAAATCTGTTGTCGACAAGTTTAAACACGGACTAAGTCTGAATGAATTGGTGATCTCTAAATTCCATAATCTATCCGTTTCATATTTCGTATACATCCGGGGAATTAAAATGGCAGATTCCTCAAGTTGGGAAAATGTTGATGTTTTATTTTGAATGCTAGTGAAGGAATTAGAAATAAGAAATTGACCCACACGAAAAAGAAATGACAAAAATTAAGGGTTTGTTTGTTGACATTATTTCTCTTTCTCGTCCACTGATTTCGTCGCTCACAAATCGGCCTAAAACTTGTAAACAAATTGAGTGACGGTTGTTTACATAATTGCTATGGGATTGGATGGGCGATTTGACGTTATGAAATATGAACTTTCGGTTTTTTGTTGAAAAAAACCCCACAAAAACAACTTTTTATTTTGTTTATGAAGTATTGTTTCAGACTAGTCTTAAACTATGCTTTACTAACGCGATACTGTTTAGTTGATGGGATTTAAAAAACCTAGGATACTACTAGCCTTGCATACATAATATTTAATATAATGAATTTATGATTGATATACAGTACAGATGAAGCTAGATATTAACATTTGGTAATTAAGACAGTCTAGTTCTAATGACTGGAAAGCCTCAAACGTGTTACATAGCATAGGCAAAAGTTTTTTCAATCAAGAATAGCCTGATTTTGCTAAATCATTGTTTTTTTAGTCTTATATTTCAATTGGGCAATTGCCAAAGATTTATCAGTTAAAGACTGAACAAAATTTTTAACTATATATTTATTATATTTGATAATTTTATCATTTCAGACCGTTTTGTAACCATGGAATCCAGTGATGATAGTGATGAAGAAGAAACTTTAGATAAAAAAGAAGGAAAGACAACTCCATCTTTACTCAAACCACAACTAGCTTCAATATTCTCAGAAGTTGAACAAAATCTCCCGTCTATTGATTTTGATTTCGGTGATGTAAGTATAACGGTCTTTCATCTGAATGAGTTACATCAAGATGGAATTTCCCTTTTTACCAGTTCACATCTATCATTCCAGATCTGCGTTCCAAATGTTGATGTGTAATTAGATTCATCTGAACTTTGACCTAATGATGTCATAGTTTAAGCTAACCTTTCAAAACTGATTTTAGTAGTCGATTTACAATTTATAACTCCATTTTTTTAGCTATACAATGATTGTTGACCCTTTCAGAGCACCAACAGTCAACATTGTGTTGGGTGAACTAGAGTTCACTTCACTTAATTGATCATTAAAAGTACTAATATTATAGTATGATTCATGATATTATTTGATGAAGACTGGTAGACTACCGATATCTCAAAATACTCAAAAGATTTGATTAAAGATGTCTTAAAATTTTATTCCAGATAAGTTCAGATTCTGATGTAACAGATGAACCACTGATATTTCAAAGAAATTTAAAATCTTTAGAATTACTGGATGAAGATAAAGATCTTGATACTTGTCTCCATAGTAATAAGGTGTCTGATAAGCCAGGAGAGTTATCTCCCCATTGTAACAAGCAATCAGAGTTATCTAACCCTGTCAATGTAGATGACATTTCATTATTTGACGTGAACGCAGACTTTGCTGGTTCTGGATTCAATAATTGGGCAGAATTAGAGAGAGACATTTCTCAAACTCGTTCAGGACTACCGAATGATCTGATGCGTATACAAACAGCGTCTGCTACACGTGTAGAGATCGCTACAAGTACGACAGAAGATTTGCTATCAGACACAACTCCTGAGAAACAAGATGGACAGAAAGAGAAGAAGACTGAAGACTATAAAATATTTGTGGAATCAGCAACTCCTCTGTTACCTTTAACTGTATTTGAAAACGTTGACTTGGGTGAGTGGCTTAAATTGATATAAAAAAAGATGCAGCTCTGAATATCTGTTTATTACAATTTTGACAATCAGCAAGTCATTACATCTCTGTTATTTGTGTCATAATTTTTAGGGGTCGGCTGTGTGCTATGAGGGAAATTTTGCCAGGACTGTGGAATAAGCTTGCTCTTTTGTGATGCTCAGCCTGTATGGTGGTGTGTTTGTTGCAGCTGAACAGAATGTTAGTGCTCAATGAAAATCAAATCTTAGTCTAAATGGAAATGTTTTTTTTAGATTCAGTATTAGCTAATATCAATGAAGACAATCAGTATGGGGTATCTCCAGTTAGACCAGCCTGGCTAGATCTATCTCTATCTAGAATCGGTAGTGGAGATGCTTCAACTACAGACAGCTCTGGTGAGTCTGGATTCCAGGAGTTCTTTACCATTCTCAGGTGCGGATACTACCAATATCATGGTGCTATCCATCTTCACAATATCAACTTATTACAAATATTGTCTTATACCTTATAGTCACTGTTCTTGTATCATGGAATGCAGTGATTGGATTGTAGGCCAGCAAAAACAGCCAATGAGAGCCTTGGACATAAAGACTATAGACATGATGGCTTATCGTTTACAGACCTTCTGTCTGGACTCTGATTGGTTGTTTTCTCTAGCAATCCAATCAAATGTTGCCTTTACAAACAATTTTAGCTATCTGTATCACTTCTCAAAATGGAAATCTGACTTGTTACAATATTTCAGGAGAAGAGTTGACATTGATAGAGAAACTGGCTCAGTTATCAGTGAAACATGGTGCTACAGGTCTAACTGAGATCAACCCTCAGACCGGGGCTACTATAGAAGATAATAAAATAATTTATGATAAATCTCAAGATAAATGGAATAAGAAGGCAGACGTGGAAAAAGGTAATACTGATGTCTGAATGGAGAGTGATTCCATTTTACTTTTTAGTTATTATTTATATAATATAAGTTTGCTTTGAGTAGTTTCTATTACTCTGAAACAAAAAGTAAGCTTTTCTTTATTATTCAATATTTTCTTAAATAGACTTGACAAATTAAAGTTAAATCCATCATAAGTATATTTTACAAAAAGAATGAAAAGAAAGAAACAGCTATATTTTACAAGGATAACAACTTAGCTTCACAAGAAACCTGTCTCTCAGCTGATCCTTGGCCACACCTCTTGATACTGATCTTTCATGGATTATCTGTATCCATATAAAGCTGGGATAATAGTGAAGGAACCAGGTACATTATCAAGTTGTGTTAAATATTATCTGTATATTTTAGATGTAGAAGTTGTAAAGAATACATGTAGTATGGGAACTAATACAACAGACCTACCTCAACCTACAGTAGCAGCTAAACCTGGTAATTTTAAATAGATTGATATTTTAACTCTAAAAACTTTGAATGCATTAGATGAAAGTGTCTTTTTTGAGGTATATTTGAAGGGATTCTGTGATTTTCGTGTAGTTCTAGTACATCTGAAGACTATTTACAAATATTCAACATCAGAATCAACCCCCGAATACGGAGCCTTTGATCAAACTAAGTTAAAGGATAATATTTGGTACTATTTCAGTAGTTACTATAAATAAATCTGATACAGTCTTCATTGATCTGAGAGGATTTGAGAAACATCGAGAAGAAGAGAAACAGAAAATAGAGAGAGTGCAGGCCATTTTAAAAATACACAACCAACAGTAAGTTACCTGTATTTAATTAAAAACACTAACAATGCCAGGAATATTTGTAAGTGTGGTGCCAACCTTTATTAGAACAGGGTGATTGGCAGATATTGTCTTTGAATACAACTAGTGCAAAAAAAGTTGTTGCCAAGCACAGCGAGGCTACCTTAAAATTGAGGATGCTGAATTGTATTTTTGATTTAAGATAAGAGTACATAAATAGGGAGGCCTTTTATATGTAGAGAGGTAAGCTCTGTCATGCTCTGCTGGTGCACTTGACATAATATGTAACGCAAGTGTGTTACAATTAACTCCACTCTTATAAAAAAAAAAAAGCAGAGGGCTCCGTTTTCACTGACTCCATCTTGTTTTTTGCAGACATGAAGAAGACTCAAGTGAATCTGAAGATGAAACTGAAAGATGGATTAAAGAAAGACGTAAAATTAAACAGAAACTGGTGTCCCAGGGTACATCGACTGATTTACTACCAAATAAGGCCAAATCGCCCCAAAGGTAAACATTTTACTATTTTTGTGCCAAAACCTAATTTCATTGACTTGTTTTTTTAAGTCTAGCTTCAGTGTAAAATGACTGTGAGTGAAATATTTGTAAAATAAAGAAATAGAAAAATAAATTTTAATTATATTTTTTTTCCATCAGTAAATCAAGTTTTAAACAGCCTCAGAGAGTTATTAATTTATCAGAGAAATCTCCTAGTAAAGATGGCGCCACTAGATCATCTGATGTCACTTCCAGTAGCTCGGACACGATACTTGACCAGGAGACAGTGAAGAAACAAAGAGCTGCTCAGCTAGAGAAAGACAGACAAATGGAAGTTGCAAGGTAACGGTTTAAGTCTCTGAGTCAACTGCTTTTAGCTTAGTCACATATTTGAGTAACAAAACGTTTGTTTGTTTGTTGTTTGTTTGTTGATTCTTTCATTAATTTATTTAATACCAGGAAAGTGAGAGAAGAGAAAGAGAAAGAAAGAGAACACAGAATAAGAATATCACAGAGATTAGAAGCTGTTCGACCAGCAGCATCTATCAATGGTTTACAGCCGACTGCTGAAGCCACACCTACTCTGTATGATATGGTCAGTATAATACTACTTGTTATGAAAATTGGAGCTGCAGTAGCTCAGTGAGTTAGACGCTTGCTCAGTAACCTGAAATCCAGAGTTCAAACACTGCATATGTCAAGATTATCCCTTCAGATTTTTCAACCCTGTTTCCCCCTGTCAGTGATGCAGGTCCGAGGGGCTGACTGGGTACCAGTGTTTAGTCTATGAGCAGCTGAAGCCCTGTGTGCTAGAGGATGTACATTTCAATGAAAGTTCAAATTGATAAAAAGTAAGCCTAAGTCGCTGTCCTAGCAAAACTCACAAAATGATTTGCCCTCTTTTTTCCAGGAAGCATCTTTTGAACCTGCTCCTAGTACTTTACCCAGAGTAATGGCCCCTGATCAGACTTGTTTGTTACTAAAAATACATCTGGCTTGCAATGGGGAGATAATTCTACATAAAAACAGAACAAACCAGAGTGTGGACACAGGTAAGGTTTTCTTAACAATCCAATCCCAAATTAAAATCTCATTTTTAATGCATACCATTATTCAAATGAATGCAATTCCATCAAATTGGTTTTCTGTTTTCTCGTATTCATGGCATTCCTAACTTATGCAGTATCCATTTTAACTTATCACCTTTTGCATATTTCAGGTGAAGGTCTGTCAGCCTCATATACCACATTACTGACATGGCTTGCTTCCCTTGTTCCTGATGATTTCACGTTCCTCCAGAGGGCAGCAGGTGATAAACACAGTGCTGAAACGAATCCTTGGCAGCCATTTTATGTTGTGGGCTTACAGCAGATTGTATTAGAAGACAAGCTCTACCTGGTGGTGGCCATCATGCCAACCGAACATTTTGATCCTAAATCTATCCAGTCCTTTAAATCTAAAAAATATCAAGTAGGTCAAATTTTTAGAGGTAATGAGGCACTTTGTAATCCGGCATAAAATAATTGGACAAGTTGTTCTATTCAGACTATATTCTCAGATATAAAAAGGTTGTAGGGTAAGCTAAGAGAAAATCCGGAAATTGTAATGATTTATAGGGGGTAAGGGAGGTAATACAATCTTCAAGGGACCTTAAAAAGGTAATAGAAAGAAAAAGGTTGAAAATTCCTGTTTAAATCAATATTTTTGTGTATATGGATGTAGGAGGTAGAATATATTGTAATTTTTCTCGTATTTTTTTTCAGGGTGGAAATCCGTTTATGCAGTATGTCCACAATTTTCTTACCACTTACACATTGCTGTCTGTGTGTCCATGGTTACTAGGCATCGTATCTATGGAAGTTGAGGGACCAAAGGGAGACATTCCAGATTTAAAATCGTACACATACATTCCACCTTTACCGAACATCACAGACAAACCGCTTGCATCATTCATTGAAGTTCATCAAGATCCACAAGCAGCTAACCGAATTTTCAAAATGGCTACCGGGTATTTTTGGCAGACGGTAGATAATGAAGAGAGCAAGCTTGATCAAGGACTGGATGAGGAATCTGTAGACTATGAAACTCAGAACACGATGTCCTTAGTGTATAAAAAGATCTATCATGATCCTGGATCGTTGATGGGAATAATGATTCGTATTCTACAGGAAGGTTTGGATATAGCAGGTGTGCGTCTGCTCTACCCAACTTCTGAATTTTTAAACTTGACTTCTGCTGAGTCACCTAGTGATAGATCTGATTTGGAATTGCTGAACAATGTGGGTCCAGTGTTGGCCCTAGCGATTCGTGGAACTTTTGCGCGATCTATTTGGCTGGATGCAGTCGGCCCGTCTGATCCTGTTCTAGCCAGACGGACAGATCCAAATTCTCTTTGTGCTCAATTTGGAGGTGAATCCAGAGAAGAGTGTTTGTTATTTTGTCCAAGGAATTCAAATCGTGTTTTGAGTGAAATGACTCGGTGGTTTGCTGGTCGAATTCCGTCAACTGGAAGTTTTGAAGTCGGACAACCGTACAAACGTAAAGATCACTTGAGATCTGGAAGTCCAAAAAGTCGTAAAGGAAAACGTGGATCTTTGACTGATTGTAAAGCAGAAGATATTCCTACTCAAAGACCCCTAGCAACATTGACAGCTACAACCAAGGGTGACATGTTTCTTGTCATTAGTCCATTGTTTTTGCCGTCTGCTCTGGGCATTTTGATGTCAACTTGTCAGAGACGTGGTTTCCAGATTCGAGGTGTAAAAAGATTGAGATTATCTAGCAGAAGAGCAGGATTATTGGGTAAGAATAAATAAAAACAAGTACTAACGATCTGAACCGCAAAACAAAACTCAAAATCCACAATAACAGACAGGCAAAACATTGGAAGCAGCAAATGAATGCAGAAAAAATGCTCCAATGAGGCTATCTTGTTAATCATGTTCACATGTTGTCTACTTTCAATTTGTTTTTCTCAGGTATTGATAGAGCTGAATATCCAGTACTTATCAATGAGGATACTGATGTAGACTGGAATATCTAGCCATGTAATTTGATATTCATAGCGGGAGAATTTTTATCCAGCTATCTCTCTCCTTGCTCTTTAAACATTGAGTTTTTGTTGACAGGTATTGATAGTACAGATTGTCCAGTCTTTCTCAATGAGAATATCAGTGATAGACTAGAATATCCAGCTACGGTATTATTATTAGAAAAAGAGAACTGTGCACATAACGCTGCGAGTCTGATTGAAGCCTTCATGGTGCAGCTGACACTGAAAGGCCTGATGGGTAAGTACTTTGATAAATTCCAAAGTTGACATTCGACCAGAATCAGGGATCAAAATTAAGGATCTGATACGCTGGTCTTGATCTGAAAACAGCACTCTATCTAATGCAATATAAAAAAATTTGTGCACATCAAAACTCAGCCTTGGACGAAGAACCCTTGGCTTATTGTATGCAATCAGCCAGAGATATTTTCGAGGCATGCAAAGCAGATATTGGATTGATCTTTTTTTTCACTTATTTAATTCTTGATTATTCCAGACTCAATACAGAGTAGACTCTGTTCACCAGTCACATCTAAACAGTTATTTCATGCTGTTACTTATACTGAAGATGTATTGGCAGGTCTTGGTGGGGAGTTCTCTAGGGTAAGTTGATATAAACAAAGAACAATCACATGAAGGAAGAAACTAGGACAGAACTCGAAGCTTTTAGCAGTAATTGAATTGTAGTGCTCCAGAGTGTTTGAGTCAAAATCATCCTTTTTGTCATTCAGCTTTGTTTATGAAAAAGTTTATCGTGACAATCTGCAAATCCATTCAAATTGTGGAGAATGTTACTTTCTCTGTCGATTCTGGGAGTATAGATATAAAGCTCTTCATATCCATCGATACGTGAATACAATACGATAAAAAAAAAATGGGCACTGTGAATATTTTCTCTTTTTTTTCAGTGTCCTGACTATGATACCCTATCAGGACCTAGTTATATTCAACCAGCTCTGTATACCAATCCTGAATTAGAACAGATAGTGATAGTTGTATTACATGGGTTCAATATACAGAAATCTTCTGGTCTTTTTATTGGTAAGTCTACAGTATCTGCATCATCTTCTAACCACTCTTAACTCTTATTTCACTCGCGATTTGATTGGATTGTAAGTCAGTGAATACAGTCAATAGGAGACCTTGACAGAAAGAATGTAAACCATAAGCCAAAATGTCGACAGACTTTCTCTTGAGGGCTCTGATTGGTTGTATTCCCTGGCGTTCAATCCAATCAATTAGCTGCATTATGAAATACAAGAATAGTGGCTAATGTAGTCAAGGTATAAGACAAAGTTTGTAATAACTTGACATTGTGAAGATTTAGTCCTAAATGGATTATTAAATAGCCATCGTCTCATTTTAGGTCAACTATTGAATGTGATACCATACAGTAGAACACCAGTTATCTCCCCTCTATCTCAAGGTGCTGAATTACTCGGGTTAAAATGGCTACCTGTGTTAAGTACATCACAAGCTAAAGAAGTTACTCCTATTGAAGTGGGTGATAAATTATGGAAGGAAAGCATTCATCGCCTTACATCAGGTAAGTGGACATATTGAAATTTTTTATTCATGCATTGAAATCTTAGTTGTACTTCTAAATAATGAAGATGATTGAAGGGTTTCATTATGAAGAAATGAAGATACCCTCAAACTATAATGATTACAAGTAGTGTATGGTTGTGTAATAATGAAAGTGATCAAGAGTTCTGAAGACAACTCACAACTCAGTTACATGAGAGTTGTGTTCTAAACTTATAACTGTTATTCTTATTTGCAACTGTACTAAATTCTACAAATCTCCTACAAATGACAGTCCTACTCAGGTGTGGAACATAGTTTCAGTTCCTCACTTAAATATTTTGGCTCTCAAGATCTCAAAATGATTGGCGCCATCAAACCTGCCTTGATGATAAATTCTTATCCATTATAGAACCAGCATTTATACTAGCATTAAGAGGGGTCAACGCCTTTAAACAACTAGAGAGTATAGTGCCACCTGGTGTACTAAACCAACCCAATAAAACACCGCTTCATAAACTGATGTCTCACACCCCGGAAGAGGCCTACAACTTCGCGAGATTATTCTTCACCAAGCACGAGCTATTTATAGATAACTCCGCCCGACCACTGTTGCCGTATATACCTGAATCATTATTGTAAGTATCTTTGAAGCAGAAATGAATTTTGGACACCAGTTTTGATTATATTGTATGAATATGCGCATATTGATGAGATATTGAATTTGTTTAATTTTTCATTTTCGACAAAGATAAATGACGAAATATGTCATAGTTGGCTGTAACATGAAGTTTTGATCAGAGTGAGTTATCTTTAGGGGACTAAGGTTGACTTTCAATTGGAGACAAACAAAAAAGGGAAATTGTTTTCTAGTTTTGCATCTACATGTATTCCATAGCTGGTTTAAGTTTCCATAACAATACCTTGAGTTCTTCAGTTCCTTGAAATTGTAGCTTATTTTCTACTTTTGTTTTGTTTCAGAATGCAGACAAAAGTCAAAAACGAAGGACACAAAACTGTAACCAATATATTTGAAATAATGAAACAAGGTCCCCAGCCAATCAGGACGTTTCTATTAGTCAAACCCGGAGCCGTCAAAAAACAATGTTTATCAAAATTACTGAAGAAAATTGTACAAGAAGGATTCAAAGTGGTTGGCTTAAGACTGGATGTTCTAGATGATAATCAAGCTGATGTGATTGTCCAGTCACTCAGTGAAGAGGTAAGGCCTTTTGCAACTATTGAGTATCATTCATTTCTGTTTCGTACACTTCTTTTTTGACTGCTATCTTTGAAATTCAAGACAGGGGTGGTTCTTACTAGATTGGTTATTTTTGCTTCAGGATGAGTCCGTGAAAGAGAAACAAAAGCTCCACCTGGTGTCAGGTCCAGTAATATTACTATGTCTTGAACGTGAGAACGCTGTATTTAAACTGGTAGATATTCTAGGACCATTAGATCCACAGGCAGCACGGAGAAAGAGTCAGTTTTTATGGCGTGGTATATTTGGATCTGATCCAGTAGCCAATGGACTGTATGGTAAATATCATTTCTTTGTGGTCTGGATTTTATATTAAAAATATATTTATCTCCCCTTCTACAGGAACATAATTATCTGGCCACAGTGCAACTTTAAACGTTAGGGTTGTTAAAATAGGCAATGTTTCACAGATTACTCATTGTTGGTCAAAACTGATTTGTTTTTTCAAACTTGTGTTGTCTGTCAAGATTATCATATTATGAAATGTCCCCGGGGTAAGGCTGTTATTATATTAGGGCTGTGAGTTATTGAAGGTATGCCCTGCCCTTTATTTCAGGATCAGTAAATTATTGTCAAGCAGTAGAAGAATTGAGAATATTTTTCAATGAAGATATTTTACTATCTGAATCTTTAGACAATCAGACTCAGGTAGGCCTACCCACTTTGTACTGACCACAGAAATTGCTGTTATTTGAAGAACAGGTCTCTGTAGCTTTGAGGATCCATCTTAAATTTTTAGTTGTGTCTTCCAGTGGGTTATTTATCTGAAATGGGAATATTGAGTAAGATAAAACAAGCTTCTGCTGCCTTCTCTTATAATCCCAAGATTATCTTCAAAGACATTTTTTTTTTAAATTTTAATTTAATCATTGATGGTTATTTGTGTACCAACTCAAACACTTTCCAAGATTTTGAAATTTAAAATATCACAATTTGATAACAATTTTTTTCAGGCTGCGCTACTAGAAGATCAGATTATTGATATAGACTATAAATTACATAGAAATATTGAAATAGACTATAGAGGGGAAAGTTTGAATTATGAAGATTCTTCTATGGCAGGTTGGTCGAAGTTTTCCAAATTTCACTTTCTTTGTTCCATCCAAATTGGGTCATAATCGTCTCAATATATTGATACTACTCATACATGTTACAAGAAATATGAATCATTTTTTAAATTTCAAAGCTACCAAAGTGTTTGGGGAGAATAAGTCTTTGATTTGAGTCATTCCTGTTAAAAGTTGCCTCATTGCTTACTGCTGAGCATTGACCTATTCTTAGACAAGCTTTTTGAATTTTGTTTATTTATACTTATTTTTTGTAGATATTCATGCCAGTTTATTGGTGCAAACAAACTGTTTGTTATTATCACCGCCATTATTAGGTTTGACCCCAAGATTGAAAGGTCAAGGTTATGTGGAGGTCATCGAAGCCCTTATTTCTGAAGGGTAAGTTGAAAATCCTTTGTCTCTTCCACTCAAAAAACCGGCAGAGCTGTGTAGATTGAACATGTAAAAATAAAACATTACTTAAGTATATGGATATCTTAAAGATATTTTGACTTTGCGCCATACAGCTCATAATTTACACAGCAGGTTTTGAATGGTCATCCAAAATTTGGAAATTTTAGGGTTATTTTCATCAAATTTCCATTTTTTTTATGCTAAATGATTTTTAACAATATTCATCAGTAAGTCTCAATTCCAAGCAAAGCGAAATGGAAAGAATGAATGTTTGTAATTTTAGGTTTAGGATAGTTGGTGCTAGAATGGTGACGTTATCACAGAATCAGACAGAACAATTTCTATGTTTATTAGAGGCTGGTAGTTTTAAACAGGTAAATAGTTTAATAGTTTGAAATTAGACCTGAAACTTACTGTCTGTGATAATATACAGGGTGAAACTCAGAGGAGCAAATATTAACGTTCTATTCTGATATATCTTAATTGCTCTGTCATCCTACATGGAAAAACTGTCTAAACGTTCAAATAGGATATTAAACAATGCTACAGGCTGTGCATATTAAAGATCCCTTGACTGTTGGAAATCAAAAAGAGTAGCTTAATGCTGCTGTCCTTGCAAAATTTCCCTCATTGCACCTTGCATGGCGTTGCCTGTCATCATTAGCGCACATGGTGCAGAAAAGTAGGATGTAAAACTCCATTCATTTCATTGTTTACAATCGTTGTGTAAAGCAGTATTTGACAGAGTATGACATGTAAAATTTGGTATTTATATTTATAGGTACCATTACTAACTATGGGACCTTGTCTAGTATTAGCTGTACAGAGAGATAATGCTGTCATTTCCTTCGATACCCTTCTAGATAGGTAAGCGTGTCCCTTATTATTTTCATGCTATTCCTGTTCTATTAAACCAAGCTTTAGAAGATGAAAGATCTTCAGACCCTTAAGAGTCAAGCTGTAATTCAGTCTGTTAAAGATTTGGAATCTTGACTTCATTTACTAGATACTACCAAGCGAATAGATGGTTGTGGGTTATATTCTGGGTTATCATCCAAAAGTCTTCACAGTGGTTTATTAAGTCTGTTTGTTTATAATTATAGTATTCATGGTGATTCTATAATGAAGAAATATGGTTCATTAATACTGAGATCTTCCACAGTTCCACAGGTAGGGAACATTAACTTTTCTTTTTATTGAGGTGCATAGGATTTGGGGTCAGTTGAATATAATCTATGAAGTTCCCATTCTGCTTTTGTGACTTCTGACGATTGGTCATGAATTCCCAAACAGGCGTTTGATTGAGGCCAGAATTAGAACAGACAGAACCTGTTCAGAACTCACTAATCAAGCACCATCATAGACTCTGAAATTAGCGTACCTATTCTGAATGCTCTTAATTGTTGATGTTCGATTGAGGCCAGAACTGGGACAGATGGAACCTGTTCAGAACTCTCCAATCGAGCACAACCTTTGACCCTGAAATTATCGTACGTTCTCTGAAAGCCTGTTAAATATCTGAATGTTCTTTATTTCTGTAAAAGTCTTACATTCATTCATTTATATATTCTCACAGATCAATTCACGTTTTTTTACTTCGATACTATTGCTACAATCTTTTATTAGCTTATTCTTCTTTTAATTATTCTCTATTTTAAACACATCAATCAATGATATAACTTGTTAATATGTTTATTATTAACAAATTGAATAATTAAATAATTCGTTTGTAATATTGAACTATTATTAACTTTTACCACAAATTATTTGACTACCTTGATTTAAAGTCATTGTATGCCAGAAATGTTTCTGTACAAAACTGTTATCCACACAATTAAAAGCCTCAAATACAGACATCTACTGACTCAGCTGGCTTTGTCAATAATACTGATACTTGTATATATCTGTCACAGCACCCTCATAGATATTAACCAGAGTATGGTAGGAGTAAGCCCTTGCTGCCTCATATATACAAAACCAAGAGTTAAACCACAATAATAAATTAAACTATCTAACAAAATATGTGAAAACATCGCTAGCTAGTTAAATTCTTCAAGAGTTTTCAAATGGTTAAACATCTCTGTCCATCAGTCATCATGGTTTCAGTCCCTCTTTTCTCCTATGTTTTGAAGTCGGTAAATTCTGGAATATAGTGTCTTTAATCACAAGTTTAGAAAGTGTTTTGCTGAAAGAGCCAGCTTTGCCAATCTCATGCTTTAATTCTATGAATTATGGAATAGAGTGTCTTTAATTAAGCCTAGATGATTAATATGATAATAATCAAATAATAAGTTAACGTAATCATCAATAATAAACTAATCATTATAGTTGAAACTTGAACTAGTTTTTATTACCTGATTTAAACCTAGTATTATTTGTTTATGGTACATGATATTTCTATTAGTGTAAACAATCACCATGTTATTATGTTATTGATATTCATATTTTTATTGCACATTTTATAATTCTGATCAGTGTATATCCGACGGTTGGATATTGATATGTTCTTTTCCTTGGTTATTGATTTTAGATGATTATAAAGTAATCATTGTTTATTTCTTAAAGTATTACATTTTAATCACTTTGCTTCAAAATATTTGTTTTCTTAAAGAGATTGTTAAGAGATTTTCTAAATTTTGTATGTGTATCAGAGACACTGATAGCATCAATTTGCACCATTCCAATTTTCAATCAGATGTCTGTGGTTCTTGTTAAAGAGATTGTAAAGAGTTTTCTAAATTTTGTATGTGTATCGGAGACACTGATAGCATCAATTTACACCATTCCAATTTTCAATCAGATGTCTGTGGTTCCTATAATTTCACTGAAACTAAGCGTTTGATGATGTCACTAATAGCGAAGGCCTTTATGGGATAAAGCATATTTTGAGATTAGTGACGTCATCAAACATAAAGTTTTAGTGGAATTGCAGGAACCACAGACATCTGACTGGAATTAAGAAATTACAATCCCTTCAAATACATTTCTTTGTTACAAGGTAATTCATGAAATGAATAAAAATGTAACATTCTGGGCCTTGAGGCTGACTTCTTATCAAAAGATAAAAAGATTAACATATCGGAAAAGATTTACATATCATCGGACTATCTTAGTATTTAATATTTTTTGACTTGAGGGTAGAAAAACATTTCGTAAACCACAAGTAGGGCTTTCAAGGTCCCAACCCTGGCTCATAATAAAAACCAAAAACACTAAATTACTAGAAAAATAACTTTTACTATTACTCTTGTTTTAAATTTTCTTACAATTTCTTTTTCGAGATGCTAAGCGTAGTGTAATTGACGACCGAATTAAAATATAGTATTAAAAGAAACCTTGTGCTATTAGAAATTTTGGAACTTTTCTACATCTGTCACCCTAGCCAAACATTACTGGCTATTTCAGCGATCAAGATTAACACTCCTGGTATGCACTGCCACGAACTTTGTTAATCTAATTAAGATCCATTGTGTACAACTAGTTAATTAAATTTACCGATTATTTATGGTCGTGGCGGTGAATTTTATGACTGTCAGGATATCAAACTATAAATATAGGAACTGATGTCATATTGGCACCGACATCTGGCACCGATAACAGTAATTACTTTGATTACTTTCTTGACAAGTGTTTTAATATTTACTTGTACACAACACAAGATGTAAATTAACGATGAAATTAAACAAAATTATAGTTGTATTGTAAACATTGTCAAAAAAATATCATCTATTTACAAAAAAGAAGAAAAATTGTAGACCAAAGAATCAAATTCATGACCTATTCATTAGAGAAATAACATTTCAAAACTCAAAACTCAAAGAATTATTTGAAAGTGGATATTAAAGATAAGTTTTTTTATTCAAAATGTTTGTTTCCTTGTACAAATTATTTTCCTCAAGAAAGTACACATGTTAAACAAATAATAAAATATTGAAACTTAGAAATGGATACAAAATTAATAATTTCAAAGCCGAGAATTCAAAAAAATTTGATGACACATCGCAATAAATGTATTTCATTTCAAAAATATTTCCCAAAGAAATGTACATTGGTTTGATTCAGCACAACAAATTAATTTTCAAACACATTCTTAAAACTGAGAACTCAAAATGTATTATTTTAAATAATTCTTCCTAAAAACATCAGATACAACAAGTTAACTCTGGGAACAATATTACGTGATATCTGGAAAATATCAAGTTGGTATTATCGCATCATTACCTCATTAAATTAACGTCAATTCTACTCGGTGTAATTTAATTTCGTTGTTTTTTAACGCGTGACATCGAGTATAAACGATAATAGCCTCTTCTTCATTTTATTCTAATTATTCTGTCCATGTTGTCAGGTTTGAAACAGTTTGATATTGTTACAATTGTTGCTGAAATTTAAATATTTCATTATGTTTCTTACCTTGAATTAAATTTCATAAAAATAACAAAATATGACAAATTTTGAATGTACATCTTTGAAAAAATGTCGTTCAAATCTTATTCATTGAAATCAGTATTCAAAATAAATATCAACAATGATACTCCTGTAAGATATGAATTAAGTTCTACATAGAGTGTAAAGAATTAGGACAAATTAAGCTTGTATAGCTTTGAACAAAGTATTCAAATAAGTTTTCTAAATGATACATCAATGAATAATATTACATGGAAAGCTTAGAATTAAACTCAATCATGCGAGACCATTCTTTAATAGAAACACTTTACTTTGATTTAAATTTCACCCCTCCAGACCCCTGACAGCAACTTAAAGTACATTTAATACCAACATAACTAGAAATTCTACAATATCGTACAGTTGTTTAACATTGATTTCTTTAAAACAAACCAAAAGGCCGCAAGTATCAACACAAGTATTTTTAATTTTGAATAAAAAATGGCCCTGAGAGTATCGCTGAATGAATTCAATATTTCGGATGAGTAGTTCGCGATTACGAAAAGAATTGACAATTGTATTAAAAAGTGGCAAGTTTTATCTGCTCGCGTTCCTCACTTGATTAAAAGGAATAAAGGAAAGTCACGTTGAGTTAAACTTGGTTCAAAATATTGATTCCATTTTTTAACGGAGGTGAACTAGTTTTTATTTAACTATAATTTGAATGTATTGTTGTCAAAATATTTTCTTTTCCTTTCAATGTTTTGGTTTGGAGTGTTATTGCTACGGTCTTTTTATCAATTTGGAAAAGAGACTTAACAAAATATATTGTAGTCAAAATATTTCTTTTTCTGTTTTATGGTCATGGTAATTTTTATTCCTGTATGTTCCGGTCTTTTTATAAATTTGGAAAAGATGTCAATTTGATGTCTGAATCTTATATCAAACTGACTGTACGTTAATATAAATATAGTTTATATTTTTGATATTTAAAAATAAAGAATTAAGGTCTGCTGTTCCTAATATAAAATATAGATAGTTATGACTATTCTTTTACTAATAACAATTACCACATAATAGATAGTAATATTAAGATATTGTGTTAACACTTTCAAAATAAAATTATAATTCTTGATAATATTTTAATTATTTAAACCATGTCATTTAACAATCAAGTAATGGCTGGTGAACGGAAATTCACAGAATTTATTTGATGAAATATTGATGTCAAAATTAAATTCGACACAGAAATTCTGGTGAATTGACAGATACTCTCAGTAGGGAACGGGAAATATTGCCGACATTCTGAAGAGTTAAAGATGGAATTAATTTAATCATTTCATTTTGATTATCATTTACAATCTAATTTCAGCCAAAAAAAATTTTTTTAAAATGTTTCAAAGTATAATATAGGCCAAGATTTTCTAAAGCATTTTTGTTACATTTTCAAAACAGCTGTTCTGATAAGGGTTTTATGTCTGAAACGTAGGTTGCCAGTTTAAATTAATTTAAAGACCAGAAAATATTAAAATTGAATTTTAGAGAAATCTTAAAAAGATTCTGTTTACTAGTCATAATATGTTTGTTATTTATGTTCGATTGGAACAAACCATTTTTTAGGGAAAAAATTTAATTCCAGACAGTTTCTTGGATGATAATATACTTAGCACATAGCTGTCATAATTTACAACACATCTCTGTCAAATTTTAAATTCAATCCAAAAAAGATCTTGATAAAGTGGGTTATAAAATAACTAGTGTTTACCTAAAGCCCTTCTGCTTGC